TGGACGCAAACGCTGTGGTGGTCTGTGTAGTCTATTTAAGAAGCAGAAGGTTTTTTGAAGCCTACCAACTGCCGAATATAGGCTTTTCCCCACTTTTGAAGCTTTAGTTGGGAAAATCTATGGGCTTTTGGGGATATATTAGCTGTCATGCTGTGTTTCCAAGGTACTTTTCAGGAGTATTTTATGGTAGCAATGCAAGGAAGTTTTGGTTTTCATCTGTTTTTCACAGAAACCACTGTTTACTAAGTCTGCTTTTCTTTGGGACGTACTAGTTGCAAAACAGTTGTTTCTAAGAACACTGCCAAGCTGAGGTTTCCTGGGGCGTTTGCTTGATAGCACTCCTAATGCTGCTGAAGTCATGAATCTCTCTCTCTCAGTCTTAGTCTTTGACACCTAGAAGATGGTCTTCCCCAAGACTTGCTTTTTGGTGAAGAAATCTAAAAAAACCAACTCTCTTGAAAGATTGGACATTACAGGTCACTGCAGGCAGGCTGGGATTTCCCACGCTGGCCAGAGATATCGCCAGGCATCACAGTGATGTCTCACCTGAGGATCTCAGGTACACGTTAGGGGCTGCACAGGGAGGCACTGATAGTGCTTCTCAACAACATGAAACAGCAGCCTAACCACGTATTCCTAACATAGCCCAAGATGGAAGAAACTGTGGTCAAAAGCTTTGTTTGACGGGATAGCCAAGTAGAAAATGTCACTGACGTGCAACAAATTACAGCCTGCCATGGTTGTGCTCTGCACAGACCCTGACAGCTCTTGAAAGCTGAAATCATGTACCCTCCCACGTGTACAAATTCGAGCACGTTGCTTCTGCTGTGCCACCACCAGCCAAGTGCTCTCTCCAGAATTAGGTATTTGAATGTGGGAAGTACAAAAGGTGAAAGTTCCCCCCTTTCTGCCCTGCTTGTTCTTTATCTCTCAGAGGACGAGAAGCACTACCTCCTGCCAAGGCAAAGGCTTCCTCGGCTAGACAAAATGATTTACAGGATGAATAACCACATAATGACCGGCATGACACAAGTGCTAAATTTACTACAGATCTGTACTGGCTGATCTTGCATAAAATGAAGCTATTTAGAAATAACTGTCACTTCACGTCCTGCTGCTGGATTACTGCAAAACATCACTGTTGTTCCTTAGTTCTGACCAAATCAACCATATAGCTTTGGCAACGGTACTCAGAAACGCTGTGATCTTCCAGTACGCTGGAAATATCAGTGTTTGCCAGAAACAACTCCCTGGGGGTCTCTGCTGGGAGACAAGTGTTCTGGGTACTCGCAAAACATTTGCCTTGAAAAGCCACTGTGCTAACTGACCTGTACAGGAAGGTCTGTAACAAACTGCAGGAAGACAGTGTTTCTAAAGCTCTGGGCTTCTCCATCAGTGTGACTGATAACTTGGTGAAACAGGTTGTTTACAAGTCCTGACATAGCATGTATTTTCCTGAAAGTGTGACAGACAGTAATATGCCATAATGCAGATTGCAGGTGCCGGAAGGTTCTTGTTGGGGCCAGACAACAGCTCTAGGGGATCTTCCAGTACAATGTTGTTTTTCAGTTCCATGTCTCTTGATGGATGGCAGGTAGAGAAAGTAGGTTTTTGCAGGCTTAAAATTTGATCCCATGTGTGGACAGGAGAGCAGGACCTGGCCTACCCAGTCCCACAGTCAGTGGTATAAGCTTCTCTGCCTCTGTTCCTTGCTCTGTCAGGTGTAAGTAGTTTTTTTCTTACCAGTCAGGAGAGCTGCAAGGTGCAGTGTTCATTTTTACTGGTGTTTGGGATCAAAGGCTACCTAAGGACCTGGTTTGGGGTTCCCTGGAGTCAGCAACAGTGGCCTTTTGAAGCAGTCTTAGTTACTAAGTAATAATGATGTATTATAATCCAGGTATATCAGCTAACATGTATTGCTCGTATGTTCTCATATGTGTTTCTAAACGTGCCACAGAAGTGTTAGTAAGCACAGGATAATTGGTAACAAAGTCTCGGTTTTGCTGCTGTTTGACTTAAAGGACACATCAAACATTAACTGGGTATCAGAAATGAGGAGAAAGACAACCACTTTGAAACATTTATAAATATTCTGTCTTTGAAAAGGGCTTTTTGGAAAGTTTTCCTGTGTTTGAATGACACCTCATTGTCATTTTAAAGAAACACTGAATGGAAGAGTGTCTCAGAGTCTCATAGCACAGAGGAGGCAGAATCTACCCAAAGCTATGGCTGTCAAGTGAGGGTCTGCCAGCACAGAGCTATCACCCAGCAGCAGGGCTGATGCACTGCTCCCTAGCTGACACGAAATTTCATCCCATGATGTCCCTTGCTTCCCAATGCCTGACATGGCACTCCTCATACTGGAGCTATAGCTGCTTTTCCCTCCCCCCCCTTTTTTTTTCTTTTTTTTTTTCTTCCCCCCATTTTCTTTTTTTTTAACTTGAAAAATATCTGGCATCTGGTGCCCAAAGAGGGTTCTGGAGCAGGTTTGGTGCAGCAGGCAGCTGTAGCTGGTGACTCAACTGAACCACCTGAGAGAGTGAATGAAAGCAGAATGAACCCAGAAGGGGTACAAATTAATAGAAAGGAGTGAGAATTTCTGATAATGGTGCACAAACCCTTTTTAATGAGACTCTCAGTGGCTCTTGTATACCTTTACCAACCAAGTTTCTAGATACAGAATGCCTATTGAGACACACTAATATGTTTTGGGTTTTTTTTGGGTTTTTTTTAGCCAGGTCAGACTGAAAAAGGCAAAAGGCACCCTATCTTTGCAATCCCCATTGCAACATGTATACTCTGGAGAGAAAATCTGCTACTTTGTGGAAGCATTAACATCTTCTTGGGGAGTTTTATGTTCAGATCTCTTCCTTCCTGTACACATTACATATTCCTACCCCCTGCGGAACTAGGCAGGAAAGGTTTCTGGGAAACCAGGCTCTGCCTTTTCACAAAAGGAGGACAGACATGCCCTGAAGTCCTCCTACGTGATGCCAAATGCTGTGCATTCAACAGACCTGCTGGTTAATGATCTTGCCCATAAGTAATGTTTTAACCATAGAGTAGTTTTTGTTTGCTTCAAAAGCCACAAAGCCAAGGAGGAAGTGTAGGAGAACTGTGGGCAGGACGGTGGCCAGGAGCCTCCTGACATCATCTTTTTCCGCCACACGGGGATTGGTGACTGTGTCTGGGACAGGGTTTAAATTCCCCGAGGCTGGAGATGTCAGGCAGTCAGGGGACAAGGGGAGAAAGCCAGAGCTGCTGGGACCCACCTGCCTGGAGCTGCTGCTGGGATCACTAAAAGCACTTTTGCTGACTCCTCCAGCACCAGAAAAGGTAATTTTTTGCTTTTCTACATGACATGTGCCATTCTGCCTGCAGCTTTAGTCAAGGCAGCGTTGGGCAGGAGATCTCTAAGAACGGCTTCACTGGACAGGGACATTTGCTGTTTCTCTGCGGAAAAAGGTGTGCTCTTTGTGGGACAAGGCTGCTTTAGGGATGCAAGGTATTATACATAATTACAGTTTTAAACCTGTGTTCTGATAGTTGTCAGGAGGAGGTTGCTGAAAACCTTGCCACTGAATCAAGTGCTGGAAACTCAAAGCTGGTACTTGAACACCAAAAGCTTCCTCTCTCGTGTAACCGCTGCCTGACAGTGTCCCTGTTTCTCTTGGCAGGCTTGCAGTTTGTGCCGCACACTCCTGAATAGATGGGACACACACACCTTCTCTTGTGTAACTCTTGGAATTGCAATACCCCTGATAGTGTGTCCTGTCTCAGGGCCAGCCTTACTAACGTGTTTTAAATGTGCACTTAGTGGCCTTTCTTTTCTGCTATGATTTACTGAAGTTTTAAATGCCTCTTGTTCATCAGTTTAATTTCCCAGGGACGTTCCTTATTCTGGGAATTGGTCTGTCAGCACCAAAATTTGCTGTAGCTCA